GTAGTTCTAGCTGCTTGCTGTAGTTCTAGCTGCTTGTTGTAGTTCTAGCTGCTTGTCGTAGTTCTAGCTGCTTGCTGTAGTTCTAGCTGCTTGTTGTAGTTTTAGCTGCTTGCTGTAGTTTTAGCTGCTTGCTGTAGTTCTATCTCAGTTTCAGCTCTGCTCAGTTTTTTATTCGGCTCACGTCTCAAACCCGTTTGACCGGAGAGGATTTGAAAGCAAAAAGACGCTCACCGTGGCCTGGTTCAGAACCATCACGTGGACCCCCCGGCCCTGTTCCCGCGCGTCGTCTTCCAGAACCTGTGGGAGGACAGCCGAGACATGGACACGCAGCCGAACTCGGAACAAGAAGAAAACCAAAGCTGCAGTTCCAGCGTCACCACCAGCGAAGACGTGACTCACCGTGGTGCCGTCCACCGCCACGTACACCTTGGACCGGCTGGAGTACACCTCGATGTCCAGGACCTTGTGTCCGTGGGCCGGCCTGCGAGGCGTCTCCATGTTGGGAGGGACATCTTCTAGAGGACAGAGACAAAATGAAGACGGGCGCTCGGTCCTCTGCAGGCGGGCTGAAGCGGCGCCACTTCCTGTCTCAGCTCACCGTACTCCTGAGCTGCTGCGTCTTCGCTGGCGGCCTTCCTGGTGTCCAGGATGAGCTTGATGTTGACGATGACCGTTATCAGGAGGAAGAGGACGGCGCCGGCCTGCAGGAACAACAGAACCAGCCCGGCAGGTGAGACGGTTCTAGAAGCTGCTCCAAGAACCGCAGCTGGGCGACAGGGAACCAGTTACTTTAACCTGCAGTCAGACTGGGTTCTCCTACTGCGACTGGGAAACCTGACGTGGCTCAGATCCAGAGAGCTCCATTACAACATCTGGGCTGATGTGCAGCTGTGAGTTCTAAAGACATTTAACTTGAACGCAGCGTCAGGTCCAAAGAAAAACACGTTCCCCAGAAACATCTGTACTGACTAGTTCACTCATGGTCTTTAAAAACATTTCCCAGTACAGATCCAGATGTTCCTTCTAGCATAGATCCAGATGTTCCTTCTTGCATTGATCCAGATGTTCCTTCTAGCATAGATCAAGATGTTCCTTCTAGCATAGATCTAGATGTTCCTTCTAGCATAGATCCAGATGTTCCTTCTAGCATAGATC